TGCTAAGTATATACTAAATCTATGGTTCTATGTATGTAAACTGTCTCTGCGATACACCGTCAAGTTTACCGGATGCCGCTTCAAGTAATCTGCAAACTTGATGGTAAACTTGATCGTGTATGGCAGGTGTTAGTGACATCGTCAAAAGCACAAAACGCATTCTTTCCTAAATTAAAAAATATTTAAAAAAAAATATGCCCGATAGTGCATTAAGGTATTGTAAGTCCCGATATATAGCAAAAACTGAATGTGATTTTGGTTTATTATCGCGAGTATAATGTATATTTACCCCATAATTTTAAAATTTTATTACTTCTGGTAAATTGTTCTAGAACATTTATCATCATTGTAATAAGCGCCCTCTGTTATCTAGTAACACACCAAATGGGGTAGTGATTGACAACGTTTATCGATTGGTGTTACCGATAAAAAATATTATACAGAGTGCAAATTTAATCATCTACAATATTTAAAGAGGTGAAACATAACAACGATACTGTATCCATACCAATAAAAAAATGGGGTGGGCCTATGTCGATGTACACGGCCGTTGGTTTTAACGTGAAACGTCTATGTCAGCCAGTACAACCAGTACAACCGGTCAACAAGATAGCCTTCTTTTTAAAACTTTAATATAATTCTAGAACACTAGGAGAATTGCAGATGCGTTGCCATCCTTTTGCAAAGGCGTAAGCTCGTTTCTTGAAGGTCCATAAGTCCTATCGGTCCATAAAAATCGCCGATAGTAAACGATTCCTAAGAAAACTCTTATTAAATCGCACGGTAGTGAACCGCCAAGCATCCAAATGATGTGGATGGTAACATAAGTTTTATCGCGATGTGTATTGGTGAAATTTGGTGGCTGGAATTAATGAGAACAATTGCTCAGAGCACTCCCTGTGGTAAATACGATAGAAAATTCAAAGGGATGCAACATCTCTACGCAGTGCCAGTGAATCGAGCCAGTCAAAGACAACTCGGTCGTCGACATCGAGCTACTCTGTTCTCTATGTGGTCAAGTGCAATGTGTTCGCCCTGGGGGGAGCCCCGGCCCAGAGATGAGAACAATATTCCATGTGAGGCTGAACCTGCGCTTATAAAGTTGCAAACGGTGTGCAAGCATGAAATACTGTCCCGCTCTACTGAGTACGCCAAGCTTTTTAGAAGCCAATTTAGCTTTCTCTTCCAAGTGACCATGCTACTGCAGGTCATTCGATATGTCGACGCCGAACATTCCCCTTTTGGCTGAGGTAACACAGGAAGTGTTCTGGTAAATTGAGAAGATACGACAAAGGTGTTCTTTATAGCGGTAAACTCACAAACTTCTGAATTTGTGAAATAGTTTATCGTGTAACGACTTCTAGATTCAGTGCTTTCCTAAAATATGTTAGATTTAAAGTGTATTTTTGTAAAAGAAACGAATTTGAAAAACATGGTTGCGCTTTCTTATTAGATTTGACGTTTCGCGATGTGCCTTCGACGCCGATCGAGCAATCATATGCTATTATTATAGCGTCTAATTGACCTAGTGACATCATTCAAGATGCCACCAATGTGGCTGCTGTTTGAATTAATTCTTAGTTATTGGAAATTAAATATTTTATTTCATAACCTTTCATTTCAATCATGACGTTATTCATGACTTAAAAATTTAAATGTTTTTTTTTTTGTGTGTGATAGGAGTCAAAATATATAGATTGGTACAGTAAAGAAACATGCATATTCCCTATTATTATATCGTAAAACATTACATTTGAGCATATAAAATAGAGGAGATGGCAAGTCTACAAAAAAATCGTGTCAAATTGAAACAATAAATGGCGGACGCTGTAAGCTCCGCCCATTTTTTAGTGATGTGAAGTCAATCAACTTATATGCAAAATTATATTTTCACTAACGATTAGGGAGGCTAGGGTAATTTCGCATGAATTTAACCGCCAGATAATTGCTGCTCCAGTTTTATCGTTTAAATAATAGTTTGAAGACGATTTTGATAATTAATGCACGGATAGCAACTCGTGCTTGTAAGTTGTAAGTTAGCAAGCTAGTTGCTCTGACTTCATATTATACAGAATAAGCTTTACTTCTGGGCTAATAAGTTACTATCTAAAGCCAGGATGGTTCAACAGGATGGAGTTCTCTTTTTGAGCTAGTAGCACCCCCACCATTTTTTTCTACTTTAAGGCCGGTTAAGGTAATATCTTTTGAAGTAAAAACTACTTTAGAATCGCCGTGATTTGAATATTATTATAATTTACGATGCACTTGTGTTTACAAATTATCATATCAAATAAATTATTTGCCGTGAAATATTTTTTATTTTATATACACCCCGGCTTAGCATGGGTGAATTCTGGATTTTGCCAACAAAATCAAGAAAGACCAAGTGAAGTAGACACAAAATAATAAAAATCTGCGGATGCTAAACCGCCTGCCAATCGTGGTAGCTGTGGCAAAATGCCCTAAAAAGTTCATTGCTGTACCTAGGTACAGCAATGAACTTTTAGAATGTAATGGATGGATGGAGTAGGAAAATAAATAATTTTAAATTTTTGTTAGCAAAAGAAAGCAGTTTAATAACGTAAAATTTTTCTAAAATACTTATATATATATATATATATATATATATATATATATATATATATATATATATATATATATATATATTTAACAAGATAAGTATTTTTTATTTCTATTATCTGTTTCATTTATGAATGACACTTAGAGTTACACTTCGCTGAGTGAAAAAGAGATAGGCAGCATATTGACAGTTCAATGTCGAATATAACCATATTTGTATAACCAATAAAACATATAGACGCTCTGGGCTCATCTATTTTCTATGCTCAAAGAACATTACAAACTAAGTACGTAGTAACCTTAAACAACATTTTCGACACTTTGATGTCGAAACGGTAACATTCCTAAAACGGGTTTTACTTTATATTTACTAGCGTCACCTAATGGGGAATAGCTGAAATGTTTTCCTAATAAATATTCAGCGTAGTTTTGCTATGTTTAGCTAGAGAGCGTCACACACGTGTGAGCTCAACATTTTTGTATGCAAATGTTCATAAAGTCCGCTCTATAGTATACCTATATATTTAAATCTCTTTGTATGTATAGATTTTTGTGCTACTAATGGAGATCGAACTTAACTTTCTGCTTGCGTAATATTAAATTCAAGTCGATTGTTTTAAAATATCACAGAAAAGCAGCCAGTATGCCCAGAAAGATGAACAACCTTAAATCAACAGCATCGCCGACACGGCGCAGTGCCACGTATGAGCGAAATTTATTTTAGTCGACATCAAAAAAGGAAGTTTACAATTCGACTACGTTTTTATTTTTTATGTACGTGTATGTATATTACGCAATAACTGCGCCAATCGCGAGCCGATTTAAATTATTATTGGAACGAAGTTCTTTATCGGACCGATCGGTATTTATCGGATGGGGTCTAGGCGAGAAAAAGTGTGAGATTTTTCCGTCACGACCCCTTCTGACGTAGTGTAGACGGCCTTGGCGGCTATGAGGAAGCGAGATGGAATAATATCCATCTTCCTCGCACTTTTTCTTATCTTGCCATGAAAGAAATATTATTTTATGTTAAATGACGCTTCATTTTAATAGACGCTAGTAATTCATTTATTTGTACTTGTTAATCAATTATATAATACGTTTATCAATAATAATATATTAGAAGCGTCAGCAGTGGATTCGAATCCACCATTCGACTACTGTCGTAAGCCACTTCTAACACAAGCATTTTAAGCTTACCAGAAGTGGTTCGAGGGAATATTAGTAATGTTTAATTTAAAAAAAATACTACGAAAGGAACTTCGTTCTTACCGAGTGATCCAAGATACTCACGCATGTTATTTTTGTTGCATAGATAAATAGCCTGTTCCTTAATTGTCCCATTTAAATTTGAAGAATAAATTCTACCCCTAATGGTGGGAAAAGATCAAGGTTTTTTTGATATTTTTTTTAATAAAGAATAAGGGTGACAAACGAGCACCCAGTCCACCTATTAATATAAGGTATTAGATAGAGCAAATTGAGAGCAATTCTTTAATCAAAAAAAAATTATAAATTAACAAATAGTAATAGACATGGAGAAATTACAGATTCTACTGGAGCATTTAAGGAGCGATTAATTGGCATACAGTTTAATTTATTGTATATGTAAAATCCCAGAACATGTTCAAAGTTTATCAATAAACAAGTTCAAAAGTTTTATTAAAGAAAACTGTACAAAAAGGGTTATTATAATATCAAGGAATACATGAATGAAAATAACCCCTGGGAATAAGGTGATCGCCACCATGCTGATTCTATGAAAATTCATTTAAAATTGTATAAACAAAATTATTGTTAAGTGAAATTATGTTAAAAAAAAGTCCCGCTGAGTTTCTTGCTGGTTCTTTCCAGGACAGAGGTATTTTCCGAACAAGTGGTAAATAAAAAATGACTTTCAATAAGTATTATGTAATAATCAATATTGAATAAAAAATCATTCTATTCAATTCTATTCGAAATGGATTTTGTTATGTAAAAGTGGTACGATTTTGTGTGTTGAATGCAGACATTTGTGCATGTGCATGTGAACGACACTTATAGTAAACGGTAAAACAAGTACTCCGATGGTGGTGTGAATCTCAAAATAAGGTCTGTCTGCTTGAGATACTATCGCCAACTGTCTGCTGGCTTGGCTCAAGTTGCATTCAAGATCTCCCAAAAACAATGCAATGTGACGCGACAACATATTATGAATGAACATATTATGAAGCATTGTACTGTAAAGGATTATTATCACTTGATACTGAAATCTATAAAAACGAAGGTCCCGAATAAAATGAAACCATTCCATAAAAGACAAGCATCCAAGCCATAAATTTTAATAAAACAAATATTTGATTCAATAAGTGATTTGACGTTGACGTTTTATTTGTTTTCATTTCAAACACAACACGTGTTATGTGAAAAATTACTTGAATATGACTAGGTTTGCTAGAGCGAAAGGGTCTAAATCCTCTAATGAAAAGGCTCCTGAGGATAGCACACCATGGGAGGTCATGAAAGAACAAATAATTCAGTCAAAGAAAGATAGTGAAGAAGCAAAGCAACGAAAAGAAGTAAGTTATTTTTGGCCATTATCTAGGTACCAATTTAAAAATAATGTATTTTTTTAGTTGAATATGAAAGAACTTTTAAGCTTAACAAATGATGTATTTGAGGGATAGTTTTTGATCTTAAGCTACTTTGATATATTATTATTAGAAATGAGTCAAACCGGGTGTAGATTAATTCGAGCCAAACCGTTTTGGTATTTCACGAACTTGAGTTGTGTTGATTTTGTTTGCAACCTTACAGGCAGCTATAATCAAAACTTAAAGCAGACAGGTTTGCTCAATGCCGTTCATCTGCTCTATTAAGAATTGTCAACACTACAACATAATATCATTTTCCTATATTAGGGGTCCAAATACTTATAATTGTTGATATGTACTTTGGTTTGGTAGTTTCATCTGTGCCTGCGAGTCCTTCTATTGACTTAGATATTTTTGGAGTTTGCCCATCTCTATCTGTCAATCTACAGAAATGAGTAGTTCTAACCAAAATCTGATTTTCCATCGGGCATTAGTTAGATTCCATCTTTCTTTTGGTTAGGGACTTCATGTATTATTAGTTTTCCTTTAAATAGATGTGGTAACTTTCTTGGCTTTCACAAAGCAATTTGAATTTTACATTGAACTGCTAATTTCATTAAAGTATTAGAGTAATCTGCTTGCCATCAAATTCCTTATTTTTTTAAGCTCTATTTTAATTTTAATTACAGGCTGAACAGCAGCGCATAGACAACTATACCAATTTCTTAAAAGAACAGAAAGTTCAAAAAAGAAAAGCTACATGGTGTGATTTTCCAGAAGCTGATTCTAAGAATTCCAATATTGATCCAAGTCAATCAAGCGAAGCAATACCAAAAAAGAAAAAGAAAAAAAAACAAGACAAATTAGGTAGTCAACGTTTAAATAATGAAGTTGAGCCAAAAAGTGGAGTACCAGAAAAGGAAAAGAAAAAGAAGAAGAAGAAAAGTAAAACACTAAATGAAGACCCAAAACAATTAAATGAGCATAATTATCATCAGAATGATCACAAAAATAAAAATAATATGAAAGATGAGAAATCTCCACAAACAGAAAATGGTGATATTATACAAAAGAAAAAGAAGTCAAAAACCAACTTTCATAATGTCGAAAAGGATGAAAATGTTGCATCACTCAACAGTGAAACAAATTGTACAGATAAAAATAAAATCCAGAACAATAATATACAAAAGTCTAAAAAGAAAAAAAATAAAGATCAAAAACCAATACGCAGAAAAGTAATAAATGATAATAGCTTCCAACTAATCATTAACGGTAAGGAAATTGAATTGGTCAGATTTGATGGCTTTCCTATAATGAAAAAAGATGCTGAACGGCTAGCTGAACTGAAAAATAGTATGATTAAGAAAGGAATACCGAAAAGTGAAGTACAAAGGACTATGAAATTGGAAAGAAGGAGAGCAGAAAAAGCTTTAGCTAGAGTGAAAAGAGAAGTTTGTTATAATTGCAGGAAAGGTGGTCATAACCTTTCAGATTGTCCTGATTTAAAATCCAAAATACCAGGAGTTGATGGAGCAGACGGGCTTTGTTTCAAATGTGGTTCCACAGAGCATAGACAGTTTGAGTGTAAAGTACAAAGAGATAAAGAGTTCAGATTTGCAACTTGTTTTATTTGTAAAGAGGCTGTAAGTAAAATGCTTATATTTCTAAAGAATTAAGTAACTATAAAAAGAGAGTAAACTAAATCTTTGTGTGAAAATTCTCATGGGATTCTTATTTGTATTGTATTGTATTGTAATTACAATTTGTAACTTAGAGATATCCAAGTTACAAATTGTAATTTGTTATAGAAAAAAATTATAGACTGATTTAATATTTGCATAATTTCTTTTTTAATAGATCTATGATGAAGCTACGAAATGTAAGTGCTTGCTGCACTATTATATTATTATAATCTTTTTCAGGGCCACATTGCTCGACAATGTCCTGATAATCCTAAAGGATTATATCCAAATGGTGGATGTTGCAAACTGTGTGGTGATGTCACTCACTTAAAGAAAGATTGTCCAACAGTAAGTAAAACAATAATATATATACGGGGTTATTTTACAATAACAGGCCAAGTTTGCAGAGAAGGTTCAGAATAAGTGATATAGGCAAATGGTGAAGAAAAAATAATTTAACAAAATCTCAATAATTCTGTCCTTTTTATCTTTTAAATTCAAATTTCGTGGTAATGCATTATTTTAACTGATTTTACTGCACGCGCATACATTTGTAAGGGTCAATTGGTAGGTAAAAACGTAGTGTCCATAAATCACATTCAATTTCAGATAATTTTAAATAAAATTAGAAAACATATTTACCCGTATTTTCAAAACCTGCAGTAACGGTATATCAATATTTATATATTTGAACTTAAATTTAAAATTTGGCTACTCTTTGAAAAATAACCCTGTATATTTGTAAAGTAGATATAGATTTGTTAAAGGCGAACATAGCTCAGCCAATGCCATAGTTGTCACTGCATCTTGAAAATTCATAAACAGAATACCTCAAAGCTTATCATTTAGAATAATAAGCAACCACAATATCTTTGCATCTTCCACTATCAAATATTTCTGATGTTCCAATTTGTAGCTATTTATACATCTAATCTACCTCATTTCATTTTGCGATGACTTTTTTATTCTTCAATATTTTGGGGTATCCATTTATTTTAATACAAACTTTCTATGCTTGTTTTAGTTACCACAAACCATATTCTTTGCTCACAAGTGTCTTTATATCCCTACAATAACTTACAGCATAAATATTTATTTCATTCCAATTTCCTTATTGATGGCGAGTCTTTATCTTTAGATTTTTGTAAAGAATTTTGTGTTATATTAGTGGAAAGAGTATTTTTAAACCCCAATGAAACAGAGGGGTGTTATATGTTTGTAGTATGTATTTGTGCGTCTGTCTGTGGCATCATAGCTCATGAATGGATGAACCGATTTTGATTTAATTTTTTTCGTTTAAAAGGTGTCTTAATCAACAGTGTTCTTAGCTATATCTCAAGAGAATCTGTTCAGTTTGACGATCATCAACTCTTTTTGTTTCACGGGTTTTAAAAATGTTTAATTTTAGTTGTATCTCACCTGATGGTAAGTGACTACTGCAACCCTGACCAACTACAACACCAGGGAAGTTTCAGGTGCATTAAATGAGGTTTCTTAAAGGTGCCTAAGTTATATTGGTCTGCTAAAATCGCTACAAGGATGTTACGGAAGTGGTGAACCGCCAATGGTCCAGATGGTATGGATTGATAGATTAGTTGCGATGTCCAAAGGTGAAATTTAGCAGCTGTAATTAGTTCAAACAATTCCTCTGAGCACTCCCTGTCGTAGATGCAATAGAATATGCAAAGGGATGCAACATCTCTTCGCATCACCAGTGAGCCAATCAGAAAGAACTTGTTCGTTGACGATTCAAACCACTTGCGATGGGTTCGGATGGTATATTTAAATTTGAAACTTTAAATATTGTATGGGCCACAGTTTGTGACTCATACAGCTTCTTTGATAGTTAAGTTAGTTAATACGTAGTTATGTACTTTAAAGTTAGATTAAGACAATAGTGTGTCAGCATGAGTATAAAGTAAACACATGTGTTGTTACTTTAGCAGTATATTACACACACAAAGTTTGATATGGAAAACGGTAAATAATTCGCGGCGCGACGGTTCGAGGCACGTCAGCATAAAAGAATGTATATAGTTTTTGGACCGTACAAATGTATTTTCGTCTCTTGGTAGCCTAACACATTAAAATTTCGAAAATATACACCAAGAACCGTGCTTTAATTATAATCATTTTGAAAAGGAGCATATGAAGAAAAAAACAATATTTCAAAAGTATACCTACTTTGTCTCTCACTCGTCGTGTAGCGCTGGCTTAAGAGAAGCTACTACCCCATATCATCCCGTGGGTGTCGTAAGAAGCAGAAGGAAATGAAACAGATGGGTGGCAGCACCTTCCTGATAACAACTTAAAAAATACAGCGGTTGCCAACACGCTTGTCAAGCGTGGGCAACTACTGCAAATATCCCGCCTATGAGGCAATTTATGGGGAGAGCATGTTCTGCACTGAACTTCTGATAGACTATTATGATACTATTATGTACCGCTGCTTTATAATATCATAGACTACTATGATAGTATAAAGCGGCCTATTTAATTGTAGTCTCAATCCGTACTTGGCCTTTTAGTAAAGAGACCTTCTATACAAGTCGCGGCATGTAATTCTAGCGCTGAACGAAACGTTTAGAGGACGCTCACGAATTAAATTGCACGAATGTGACTGGAGAGCCAATCAGCGCGACTTATATGCAATAAGCCAATCAGCGCGACTTATGCGCAATTACTGTCACCGCTAGACTTTCGTGCCGCTACTTATATCTGTCGCTTAAAGCGTCATTGGCGTAAAAAGAAATATCTGAATCAAAGAAATAATAAAGCTATAGGCAGGTGTATCAGTCAGTTTTCATTTGTAAATTAAATTATTAAAAATGTTTTTTATTTTGCAGCAGAGCATTTGATAGTGCTTGATTATTCATAACGTTATGTGGTACTTTATAATCGAAATTGTCATGTCATTTCAGGCAAAAGATCAAAAACAAGAAAGCTCAATAAAATTGCAAACTTTAGGCAATGCAGATAACATTGAAGATATTAGTCAAAAGGAGGAAAAAAGTGTTACAGAGATAACAAGAAAACCCAAGAAAATAAAGTTTTAATGTTATTGAGATAGAAATTATAAATAAAAAGTCCTTAATTTTATTAGTATTGTTTTAATTCACCCTTATTTTTGGCCGTAATGTGGCTTTCTAAATTCTAAATGAAAATACACCATAAAATAGAATCCTATTATAAATGTTGCACATGAAAATGTAATGCTTTTTTGTTATATAAATGACTAATTTATACAAATAAATAAAATTGAAGACAAATAACAGTTTTTACTAAATGCATATGAAAGTTTAAACTATGCTCATAACAAAAAAAAATTAAATTTTTGTATGTCTGTTTGTTCCGGCTAATTTCCGAAATGGCTGGACCGATATTGACGGGACTTTCATTGGCAGATAGCTGATGTTATAAGGAGTAACTTAGGCTACTTTTATTTTAGAGAAATAATTAGGGTTCCGCGAAAAAATTAATACCCCCGAAATCCAGTAAATTCCACGTGGACGAAGTCGCGGGGAACAGCTAATGAAAGATAAATATGTGCAATGTTTATAGTGCCTCGAGACTTGCTTTCAGTTGCTCCATAGATTGGTATGCAATTTGTCCTGTAATGCCTTCTGGACTTTGTGGGTCTTCGCGACTCAGTATTCTAGCTGCATCCGCGAGGCACTGGATAGGTTCTTGCAGTCGCTCTTTTAATTTCTCTTTTGTAATGAGTCCAGCACTAAATTCGCTTCTCGCTAGATACATAAGTGGTGCGTGAAGTTCGTAGATCATCATTGCTGTAACCAACAGTTTAACATTAAAAGTACCCGTAATATATAGGCATAATAACCCGCGTAATGTTTACAGGTAGTCACAGATTTGCTCTCATTACTAAGAGTGCTTTGAATGCTAGGAATTAAGTGTTCTGTGTTTGAATTCACCAACGCGAGCTAGCGAAATTCACCTGTCTTCAAAATATTGAATTTATAGACGTAGTGATTAAAATATTAGGATGGCTTATTGTAATATGATTTTAATTAAGGCTTTGCTTCTAATTAATTCTATTTAAATTACCTAAAATTTATTTATTTATTTGTTCTATATGGATCGTTAATGAATTTTCCTTTAAGTTACGTGGGGGTAATATGGTCACCTTAAGATTTGCCGCACTATAAAACCAAAACTAGGAGGAGGACAGAGACAAAAACATAAAGTGGTAGGTATACTCCAACTAATATATTAGGGAAAAAATAGCAAACAACCATTGGCAATAACTGGGAATACTTTAAAAAATCAACTGGAAAAAAAAGTAACTGCACTACACAATACTAAAATCGGCTAAAATTTTTGCTATACTTTTAAATTTTAACTGTCAAAGTGGCGTCGTTAAAGCATCACCCTTTTGATCCTTTATTATTTGATTGACTAATGAAGAGCTATCGTATCATAAAACCATCTATGCAAACAATGCTGTCGTTTTTGAGTTATAAGAAATTGAATATACCTATTAACCGGATGACCATATTACCTTCACGTACGTCAAACTACCCATACAAGGCAATGAAATCTTCTCCACATTAAAAATTTCAATAGCGAACGTAATAAAACATCTTTCAGGTGAACAAAGTAGCGTGCAACGTTTGCTGACGTCCAGAGCCACTCAAGCCAAAAATGCCCTCCCCCTCCCTTACCTTTTAGAATAATCATGTATTATTTAAAAACTAATTTTTATGACTTATAGATTATATTATAATTGTAGCACGAATGGGTCGGTCCGACCAGGGTAGGACCATGCTATCACAGACATCTCTTAATGCTGCTGTTTCGTATTAAGTTTAGAAAACCAGAGACGGAGACCCTTTTTACCGGAAATGAGGCATTCCATCTTAGTCCTAAGGGGTAAGAACGCATTTTGCATTTTGATTCTTAATCGAAGATAAATGTGGATGTCTATGTGTGTGATATCAGGTGGACTGGGTGCTCGATTGTCTACCTTATTCAATAAAAAAAATATGAATGTATTTTTATAATTTCCTTAACCTTGGCAAGTGTATCCCTGTTCAGTAAAAAGTAAAGTAAAGTTACAGCCTATATACGTTCCACTACTGGGCACAGGCCACTCATTTCTGAAAGGGTTTTAGGGCAAGGAAGTGTCCGCCGCGCTGCCCCAATGCGTGTTGGCGAACTTCATATGTCTAATATATTTTTTTTCTCATTTCTCAGACATGCATGTTTCCTCACGATGTTTTCCTTCGCCGCCGAGCACGTTGTAAATCAGCACTTAAAATTGCACTTAACAATTTCATTGGTGCTGGGGGGGGGGGGGGGGTCAAACGCAGGTTTCTCGCGTACTGTTAAATTAACAGCGAGCGCTAACCACCTGAGCTACTACGGCTACACGGTGTTCAGTAAGAACTATTTAAAAAAAGTTAAGACTGGTAGCTTACTTTCTTTCTCAAAATGTCGGCCATAAACCTCACCCTAGCCTCTGCTACGCCACGCCTAGGCTGATTTACACGGGGACAGTAACAGGCGACAGTGCTGGCGCCGATGACTGACTTGCATTGTTTACACGCAGTCAGTAGTCGCGCAAACAGTGCTGTACTGACTTCAAATCAATTTACATTATGCCAGTAGCGGGTCAGCACTGACTTGCCTCTAATTTGGAGTCAGTTACTGTCCCTGTGTAAATCAGCCATAAGTAGATGAGTATTGACTGTAAACCGACTGCTTTTTTCATCTTAACATTTAATTTCAGGCTGGAAAATATCATAATAATAAAAAAAAAACATAACGCAGTTGCGAAGTAATTCCCACGGGCAAACGAATCAACTGGAGTTACACAACCGTACTGCAGATCAGCGGTTGTCTAGCGCCATGGCGTTAGTTCCATTTGGAAGTATAGAATAGAATAGAATAATTTTTTATTCAATATAGATCACACGTGTAATTCTTATTGAAAGTCATTTTTTACTTTACCACTGGTTCGAAAAAAACCTCTGTCCTGGGAAGAATCAGCAAGAAACCCAGCGGGACTTTTTTTTTAAAGCAAATTTTACAATAATGGTTGTACAAACTATATAAGTACAAAATTTATTTTAGAAACAGCTTGGAAGCGATCACCTCATTCCCAGGGGTTATTATCAACCATGTATTCATTTATACTATAACAACCCTTTTTATACAGTTTCAACTTAACAAAACATTTAAACTTGCTAATAGATCGATCTTGCTAGTATCGAACCCAGCTCCCACGACCTGGTAATGAGCAGTGTTTGATGAGGCATTTCTTGAAAGATATGCCCATAATGCGGTGAGTTTGTGTGAGAATTCTGGTGACCAACCAAAAAGTCCTTTAAATAGCGCATGTGAGGTCGGCACTTTAAATGATACTCCCGACACTTTTCATACTATTGCATTAGCTCTTAAAAGTTTATTGCTAGACATGGGCCTCTCTCGCTGTTGGGAGGATTCATATTTGTGACACTATAATACTATGTCCGGCGTGGTAGAGAATGCTTGAAAGTATTTCAACGTCATCGTAGTCGATTTTGACTACGACGGCATAAGAGAAGGACAAAACCCATAATAACTTACCTCTCATTCTGCTGTCCCCCGGCGTAATAACATCAAGAGTCTTCAGAACCAAACGACAAAATTCAGCTTTACGCTCCAGTATAAGATCGGGAAGCTCGTCGAGGCCGTACCCATCCACACGCCCGTACAGTTGCGCTAGTGCGTGTTTTATAGACAGAAGGATAGAGTGGCGCGGATGAAATACCGACTTATACTGAAAAAATACAAAGTATAAAATAATCATAATTAATGGTGGTCAAAGTATCCAGCTGTTACGCAGCGTGACTTGGGATTAAAACCCAGTCGACGCCATCATTTATGCAAGCAACAAACATTGGCTCACACAAATGTCTTTTACAATTTGATTAGGGAGGTACCTACTTATTTATTTATATAGTCCTTCAACAAATAATTTCGTCATGCGTACAGCAAAGAAGTGGAATAAGTTGGCAGCATCTGTCTTTCCAACCGATTACAATGGGGAAGACCAGTGGCGGATTTACCAGCAGGCTGAGTAGACTGGAGCCTAGGGCGGCAGATTTTAGGGGCGACGAATTTGGGGCTAAATCTTTTTCGTTTTTCACTTGGTTGATAAATTTTCCTACAATTTGCAGTTGTAGCGCGGAAACGAGTGACATGACCGTTCACTAAGTCTGTTTGATCGAAATGCCTGCTCTATATAGTATATTATATATGGGAATGCTGATGAATTGACTGAACGAGCGAGGCGCGGCCGCTACGGGAGCCGCAGCAGGATCGTACTGTTGAAGGCGTACGAGTACGCTGCGTGTTGGCATTGAGTTCGAAACAGACAGATGTATTTACTTCAAAACCAAAAGAAAAGCTGCCTCGGTTGAATCCTGGTGCGATTTATAATACGTACTAATATTTATCTGGCACAAGTTTTTGGAAAATTACTAATTGGAAAAAAGTTCTGAAGAGGGTTCTTACTGTAGTATAATAATGCCGCAAACATGTCTGGTGTGTGTACAATGGCTAAAATTAAAAGACAAGCATCTTTTGATATTTTCGTTCCTTGCTCTGTCCTCTCTTAATATTTAGTGGCAACTGCGGCTGCTGAATGTTGTGCAGAAGCTTCTCGCTTTTTCTGATCTTTGTAGCTGAACGAGAAATTTTTAAGTATTTCCAAGAAAAAGTGATCGAACTAAGCGCGTCGAAACAGTATACAAAAGACGTGGGAGAAAATACAACCGAAAACGAAAAAAAATTATGATAAGACACCTTATAAAGAAATGAAAATGACTGAGTGATACTTTGAGGGCTAATACATTTCTCGTCCTCATTGATAGACTCGTATCTGAATTAGAAAAACGGTAGGTGTTGGTTCAAAAAAACATCATCAAGATCAACCCTTACAGAAAAAGCCCTTTTCTTGGAAAAAATGTATCCTAATGATTTTCGAGACTGACTTAGTTCAAGAATTCATACATTTTCAATGACACCTTTCTTCTTCTTTGGTGAAACCAGAATCTGGATCATTGAAAATTTTATCTTCGTTTCTGCGGAACCAGAATTTTCAAAATGAAAATTCAAAATTCTTAACTTGGATATAGCAGTTCACATAGATTTATTTACATCAGTGACAAATTTTTCGGGTGTTTTATTTTAAGTAAGAAAAACTATTCTTACTTAAAATGGCTGAAAAATTATCTAAAATCTACCTAAAGTCAACATTTCGGCACGCCGGGATCACTCCCCGAAGTTACTTGCAACATTAAGGGGCTGTTGAACTTCTTCGGGGAGATTTCAAGGCTTGAAAAATTACATTATTCCTGTCCACACGCAAAATACGCGCTTAGACGTGGAGTTGCGGAAAAAAGCCCGTCATAAACTAAACTACATAAAGTCAAGAAAAGCTAAACACCTTAGCTATTTTGTGCATAGAGACAGAACTCAAAATTAATGAACAAGATTTCATCCCGCGATTGATGATTATTTTGCGAATAGAAAATTACGCAAAAAGCAATTTTAAAACTTTGTACTTGTAATTGAATATATTATTTTTAAACTTTAAGTAACCGCAATAAAAAATATTTAATAACGTTTAAAGTTTAAGTACTATTAAGGCATACCTTACCCCGCCTTACTCGTATTAGAAGTACATGATTAAGCTTTTATTAGCTCAGAAATATAGCCAAATGCTATTTCTTGTGCAATCTTAACTAAATCGTTGAGTTGTAAAGATTATCTGGGAACTGACATCGATTTTATTACGAGAAAAGGGTGGTGTAATTAGAACAATAATGCACAAATCATGAAGTTACAATTTCATTGAAAAAAATTATAATTAATATGATTGTGAACTAGGGTATCGAATTGTAGAAGAGCGGTAGGGGCGGCAAAATTAGAATAGCCTACTGGCGGCAAATGTGTAAATCCGCCACTGGGCAAGACAAGAGTGAATAGGCTTTTGTTAAGTTAGTGCGCTTCACCATCTTAGACTACATCACCACTTACCATCAAGTGGGATTATAGTTAAGCGCTGGCTTAAAATAGTAAAAAAGATACGACGTTTATTCTAATGCTAAGTTCAAAAACTTAAATGTAAACTAAGTGCATATATAATATTAGATAAGCACCGCATGCTTTGTGTTTGTGCTCACAGCACTTCAGACAAGTTTTTGAAGTTATTATATTATATGTGGTAGAGCCATGCTGCAGCTATATTAATAGTAGATATAGTTGTGCGAATGCGAAGCACGAATGGGTGTTTCGTATGGTGAGTGTAGAGAGCCGGCGATCCTTTTTACTACAAAAGAGGCATTCCATCTTAGTCCTCACGTGTGACAACGCATCTGTATTTTGATTATTGAGGCTAGATGTGGATGTCTATGGATCACAGCAACCACTTACCATCAGGTGGACTGTGTGCTCGTTGTCACCCCATCCTATAAAAAAAAAATTAAAGATACATTAATACTTTAGTTATTAATAACACTAACAGAACAAGAACTTAGCCATCCTCATATTATATCATCTCATAGTTGGCACGTTTGAACCTTTCAAATTATCAGGAATATTCTACTGGACATTATTCTCCTGTTTTTAACCGCCGACGCAAACAGACAGGTGTTATATTATGTTAAACGTATGTATCTGTGTGTCTGTCTGTAGCATCGTAGCTCCCAAACGGATGAACCTATTTTGATTTTTTTTGTTTCAAAGGTAACTTGATCGAGAGTGTTCTTAGCTATGATTCAAGAAAATTTCTTCAATCATTTGAAGATAATCAGGTCTTTTTATTTCGGGGGTTTTTAAAATTTTCCATTTAATATTACAGTTCATTTTGTATTGTTTTTTATTGTTTTCTAGGTGTTAGGACTGTTTTTCTGCCTAAGAATCCGTTTAGGTAGGTACCACCCTTTTACCTATTTCTGCCGCGAAATAGCAGTGCTTGCACTGCTGCATTCCGGTCTGAAGGGTATGGAGAATCAGTATAATTATAAGTAGTGGCACGAAAGTCTAACGGTGACCGTTATTGCGCATAAGTCGCGCTGATTGGCTTATTGCGCATAAGTTGCGCTGATTGGCTCGTGTGTATCGTTCGCACGTGTTGATTGGCTCTCCAGTCGCATTCGTGTAATTCAATTTGTGCGCGTGACGTTTCGTTCAGCGCTAGACTTACGTGCCGCAACTTGTACAGGCTGTGAGGCATTTCACCTTATTCCTCAGAGGTAACAACGCATCTGTAGCCTTCTTTGTTTGAAGTTGGCTGCAGATATTTATGGATTGCAGTAGACCCAGTGTTTTACATTAAAGTCCACCACCAGTTAAATACGAAAGCCGCAAACGAAAGTTATTATGATGAAGGAGGACATATATCCTCGAAGCTGATTTATATTATTGCGACGATATGCCGTATGGTGTCAGGTAAAAAACGGTAGTTCGAATGACAAAACAGCTTTTAGTATCTAGAAGACTGCAATGCAATCGGAACTAAGTTATGCAAGGTCTGTCGCATAAAAAACCAAAATCTCTTAGTAGGCTGTATAAAGAAACTAAATGACATTTAGTTTCTTTATACAGCCTACTAAGCAGGTCTTCAAATGTATGGGGCAAGACCTAAGCATCTATACAATACAAATTTTATTAAAGAAACGATTAAGGGGAATCAAGGCTTCAAATTATTGGCCAAATATCTGTCTGTCGAAAACAGACCTGTCAAAGTAGACCGCAGATTTTGAGTGATATAAAAAGGTTCAATAATAAAATGTTTAAAGTCATGCCTTATTGACGGTGGCCTCTCTTTGTTCAATGGCCTGGGGACCAGGTTCTAAAGCATCTAGTTGATCGACTTCTGCTTGCACAACTGCTAACATTTTGCGCATCGCCGCACCGGACGTTTTAAATCCACACGATTTTTCCGTACACGACCACTGCGCGTCGTTATCTGGAAACAATTCATACATTACAGCCTATCAAAAGTCCACTGCTGAGCTGAGAGGAATGTTATAGAGTAGTGGGTTCACTTACGCCGCTTCTACACGGCACATAGAAGTAGGTCATAGAAGGTCTTTTACCTATGAAATTGCCGTTTTTTTATGGAATAAGTTAACGTAATATTTTTTGTATATTTTTTATTTCTATTAATCAAAGTAATCAGCCATGCAATCGACGCATCTTTGCCAACGCAGTAGCAGTTTATCGATGCCCTCCTTGAAGAAATCAGCTGGACGGGAGGCAACAAATTCTTCAAAAGTATTTGTACTATCTCTCCGGTATTTAATTTTTTTTCCGCCATAAAGTTATTCAAATTCTGGAAAAAGTAGAAGTCTGCGCGTGTGTGTGTTTACGGCGGATGACGGAGAGCTTCCAATCCCAGCTCTTGTAACTTAGGTACCGTCTGCTGTGCAGTATGAGGTCGCACGTTGTCGTACAGGAGCAGCGGGGACGAGCGGTTGACCAAAGGTGGTTGGACATGTGCGAGCTTCTCCATCATTGTGTTAAGTTCTTCACTGTACACATCTGCAGTAATGCTCATCCCGTTTGGTAAGAACCTATGATGAATCACACCGGCGCTAAACCACCAAACAGTGACGATCACTTTTCTTGGAGTTTTCGTTTAAGACATTGTTTAGGTGCTGAATCAGGATCCAACCAGCTTGCTGAGCGCTTGAGATTGTCAAATAGAATCCATTTTTCGTCGCAGGTAACAATGCGGTTCAAAACTCCTGCGATTGTGAGCCTGTTGAGCAGTGCAAGACACGTCTCGACTCGCTTTTTGCGCTGGCGAACACTGAGTTCGTGGGGTACCCATTTGTCAAGCTTTTTTACTTTGCCAATTTCACGCAAATGGACTACTGTTTTGATGTTTATGTCGAAAGCTGCTGCTAATTCAGCCGTAAATTGAGTATCATCAGCTTCCACAATCGCTTTTAATTCGTCATTGTCGACCAAAGTTTTCAGATGACCACGGGATTCATTTTTCAGGTCAAAATTTCCAGAACAAGAGCGGGCAAACCTATAACAGGTGGGATGTTCGTTTGTAGTATTCACTCCTTAACTGTCGTTTATGTTGCGTGCCGCTTGTGCCGCATTGCTGCCACGACGGTACTCATATTCCATAATTACTAATATTTAACGTATCCATGATGAAAAAAAAGATTCAAATGCGATAAAAACATAACGCTAATCAGTAAACAAATGACTAATTTTGAAAAAGAACTCCATGTTTTTAAAATAACATTAATTTTAAATTAGAATTCTTAGCCAAACAAAAATTATTTTGATTTGGAATGGCCAGTAATGCATAACGGCTATTTCATAGGTTAAGACCTATTGTTTAAAATATTAAGATTGTGACACGGTGATGTAATCTGAGAGATAAAAGCTAAAAATAATGTGAACTTACCTAAAGGATTTGTGGACAAAATAATGCCATTATCACATTTGTTACATTTCAAAGTACTTAAGTGTGTTCCTAACTCTGTAGGATCGGCACAACGTGGACAGTCGCAGTGGAAGAACTTTGAGTCGAGTAAATATTCACGTCGAACTATAGTTTGTGAGAGTACGTGAGTGTAACACAGATGTAGTGGCTGGCCTTTTTTTATTGGTACTGCTGCTCGTACTTCAACCCTGTACAAATAATGCAACATTTATTTTGGCAATCCAGTGAAAACACCTAATGATTATTATGGCGGAAGATAAAAGCTCTGTCTCGCCAGCAACGCAGTCAGGAATATGTATTTAGGAAAAGCCAATATTAGGTGCTTATTTTAGGAGGAAGGGTAGGGGGGCTTCCCCAAAACACTCCCCTCCCCCTCCCCGTCCCACCCCCGTACGCAAGTACCGAATGTCTATAGTTTTAGGCTTTTAGGTACCATTCTCAGAAGAACTGATTTTTGCATTTGCTTTGTTCTGAATAACGACTTTTTTTTTTAGAGACGCCTTGCCATTGCCTATGCTATCGTCATTGCGTTGCTAGCGATACGTTTAGCCAGCAACGCAAATTTCAACAGTTCATTGCGGTGAAAATTTTAAAACACCTAATTTTTAATTTATCCAAATGCCGATTCCCGACTTTGCGTTGCTGGCGAGACACCACTCAGGAATTTGCATTTAGAAAAATCCAAAATTAGGGGCTTTTTAGGTGCTAATTAGGTGCCAAGGTTAAAAATTAGGTGCTCTAAAATTTTCATATTGATATTGACAAAACGCAATGAAGTTATATACGATAAATATTAATAGCAAGGAATTAAGCGCTAACTAGGTGCTGCAAGTATAGGCAATGACAAGGCGCCCCTAATAAAAATAAAGTTGTAATTCAGAACAAAGCAGATGCAAAATTCAGGTTTTCTGAAAATCGGAATCGAATCAAAAATGCTTTTAGATAAAGCCCAAATTAGGGGCTTTTTAGGTGCTAATTAGGTAGCAAGTTCAAAAATTAGTTGCTCAAAAATTTTCACCGCAACGAACGATTGAAATTTGCGTTGCAGGAATATTGATATAGTTACTTCTGCAACGGCTTCGGCGCTGCGGGGAGTGCAACCCCTTCGCCCTTGCATAGCAAATTACAAACACCCATGCTCACCTCCGTAACTTTGCCGAAGGCGACCAATAAGCCGCACCTAACTTTTTAACTTGGCACCTAATTAGCACCTAAAAAGCTCCTAATTTTGGGTTTCTCTAATTGCAAATTCCTGATTTTTCGTTGCTGGCGATACACAACTAAATTCCTGACTGCGTTGCTGGCGAGACAGGGCTGAAGTTAAAATCTGTAGTAGTAAGCATATTTAATGTAGTAATATATGAGTTAAAAATTTGTGGGTGATATAACATTTCTTTAATTAATAGATACTGTAAAATATTAATAATTAGTTAAATATATATAGAAGCATAGGTATAATAATACTTATCAATAGAAAAGCTAGAGCTAAAATTAGGTAACTATGTAATATCAAAAGACAAACGGGATCTGTTTGTCAGTTGGCAGCTTTCCAGTAAATGTTGAGAACAATAATATATAGGTCAGTTATTTTACAGATTAAAATGAGTTATTCTTTTATTTAATTACGTGCTGCCTACGCGTAATATCTTTGTTAAGTTTGTCAGTGGCAAATCCGTTTTACAGTCTAGGGGTGTTCCAGTCTATGTAACCTAATATTTCCAGCAGAACTGGTCGAAAATAAATTACGAGCATAAGTTGCTTTGGTATACAATTTGTGTCTACTTATAATGTACCTAAAAATTACAGTAACAACCTATTTTCGGCCGACTTTGAAAAAAGGAGGAGGTTTTCAATTCGACTGTATTATTTATGTGTGTTACCTCTGAACTTTTTTCTACATGAACCGATTTTGATGATTCTGGTGCTGGTGAAAGGATGAAAGCTGGTGCTTCGTTGGTGGTCCCATTTAAATTTGATCAATATCAAATCAGTAGTTTTTGAGTTATCCTTAATAATGCGTCCTATTTAGTTGACTTCGATTACATTGATGATGTTCTCATTTTATTTTATGATTGTAGTCGGTTGTACAAAAATTTTAATTAATTTAAACCACTTGTTTTTAACAATTTGGTGATTAGTTGTTTTGCCTTCCTGAGAAAATTGAGCATTACCAAGCTTGTCAGTTGCACTTGCCACAAAGCTACGTTTTATGTCGTCAGCAAGGGTAGCCATAAATTGAATCACTAATCTGAACTACTAATGTCGGTAAAGACAGCCTAGATATTAAAGCTAAGGTAGAAAACGAGAGGTCATAAACCGCCAGATTGGTTTGGATGCAAGTGATGTTTACCTGAAGTTTGGGGAAAGAATGAAAGGATACTGTAATTCGTACAGAGAATCCGGTGACGATTATCAGGCTTTTCTCCTTCCGCGGGTAATCTGTCACGCCTAACCGTCATAGCTTTTTAGGGTCCCGTAACCAACGGGACCCTACTAAGCCTCCGCTGTCCGTGTAGTGTTAGCAGTACGCTTAAATATCGTTTAGATACCTACTATTTTCTTTTTACTTATTTCTTTTTAATATTCCAGTATTAAATATTTATTAAAATTATTATTACTAATCACTTAAAAAGGAAGGCTCCGTGGCGCAGTGGCTTAGCAATCAGTTATTGCGGGGGCCGCGGGTTCGAATCCCGCACGGTACAAGTATTTGTATGGCCTACAAATAATTGTTCCGAGTCTGGATGTTTGTCCTTGTGCAATTTATGTTTGTAAACTGCCTCCACGACACAGGAGAAAATCCTAGTGTGGGGGTTTAAACGTTTAAAAAAAAATAAAAAATAAACTTAATCAGTTTTTCAATTATTAAACATAATTAATAAGATATTCAATCTTAGTCTTCAGAGTTGACAACGCATCTCTCAACTCATCCTTTGTTTGAAGTTGGCTGCAAATATCCATGAACTGCAATGGTCACTTACGTTATGCCGTTTTATAAAAAAATATAAATTGTTAATGCCTAAAGATCTTTTCTTTTTGATTTGGTCGAAAACCGTAGGTTTGAAAAGTACGACATAATACGCACTTGTAATCATTCTGAAGTATGGTATGAACAATGTTGGGAACGCAGCTATGAGCCGCTATTGCCAGCCGAGGGTACACTGCCCGTACACTGAAGCCGCCCCGCGAAGGTATCTCCACAGCATTCACCTTAAAAAGAAAACGAAAAATAATTTTGAACGTATTCTGCCATTATAATTATTATAGGCCACAATTAACTAACTACAGTAACGGGGAAGATGGTTCATAATCATCATCATCGTTACAGCCCTTCAAAAATCCCCTGCTGAACATAGGCCTCCCCCAAGGAATGCTACAAGCACGGTCCTGAGCCACCTGCACCCATCGACTTCCTATATGTCTTACCAGGTTGTCACTACATCCAGTTGGGAGACGCCCCACACTTCGCCTGTCGGTACAAGGTTGCCACTCGAGAACCTTTCTTTCCCATCGATCGTTACTTGTTACGGATTAGTAAGCTAAAGTGGAAATGGGCCGGTCATATTGCTCAAAATGTGGGCTATGTTATATTAATTGCCCAACTGGGAATTGTCGAAAATCCATCACTTACTTACACTTTTCCAGTTAACTTCTCAGTTATCAGTTATATATTAATTTTTCAGTTTATTCATTTTTGTTTATTTGGGTTTGGGTTTTTTAATAGTAGGTATAGATACTTAAAACTATGCATTCTAAGATAAATCGTGTAATTTTTTAATATGGGTTGCGATGTGAAAGCAATGCGACTGAATCGGCACGAATATCAATGACGTATATAGAACTGGCACCACTAACGAACGAACTGTGTGGAACTGTGCAATGGTTCTAGTTCAATCGTTTTGTTCGGGAATTTAACAACACAAATGAATCTCGTGGCTTGTTCGTGGCCGCCTGAAGACCAATGACGAACTGACGGCAATAAATAATGGAGGCGAATCCGTCTCAATCTATGGCTGATCTAGTGTCTGCTTTTGATATAAGCTGTTATATATTCTATGATGTAAGTGTCACAACAATATTAGATCATTTACGGTAAATCAGTAAAATAAATATGCTTAAGAAATAGGTGCCTCAAGAAGTGGGTGACGTACAGCGAGAGGCTGCGTCCAAACTTGCATCACATTGTCTATAGGCACAGAAAGGAGGAAATTTTGAGTTAAATTGTTACCGCAATAAGACGTGGATTCTATACGACAATAGCAAGCGTTCATCATAGTGGTTAGATCCAGATGCATAAGCCAAACAGTGACTGAAACGAAAGATTAGCCAGAAGAAGCTAATGTTTACAGTTTGGTTGTGTGCAGTTGGTATAATTCACTATAACTTCTTGCCGTCTGGGGCTACGGTTGCTACTTAGATACTGTAATTGTCAAGAATTACAAATTTCAGCGGAGTAGCTGGCACTCAACCCAGATTGGTGAACTGCTCTTCTTCATTGCTTCTTTATGACAACGCCCGGCTACATACTAAACAATACAATGAGAAAATTAGCCAAAGCTAGGGACTCTTCCTCGTCTACCATATTCTCCTTATCCCAACAGACTTCTTCTTTTTTCGAAGTAAAGAGAGCTGTTTGGTAGGCAAACATTTAATTTCCGAACAAACAACTAGCACTAAACTTGCTGTTTCTCTTAATGTCTCGAAGGCTTTTAACAAGGTTTGGCACGTTAGTATTTTGGGCAAGCTTCCAGCGTACGTTTTAATGATTGGCCTGAATTATGAACTGGGTGAAGGACTTTCCGAGTGAACAGTCTCTCCGAGTCGTTGTAGATTTCTGCTTGTCCGATCCTACAACAACTAATGCCAAAATTTCCCATGGGTCTGTTGTCTCTGCAACTCTCTTCCTGCTGCATATTATTGATCTGCCTATGCGCGACACTTTCGTCATAAACACAGTTTTGGAGAGGTACCAGTCAAATGCTCGGACCAGTCGGGATGAAATCCAGTCCGAAAGAGAAGCTATATTTAAGTGTGAGAATCTTTCACTGCAGGCAGTCTTCGAAACTAACCGGGCGACAAGCTCCATAGTAGTTGATTAAATAATAGGACCTATTAGAATGTACAACGTTCTTGGAACTGCTATAAAGATTGACTCCCGTTCAGAAGTGAACCCTTTTTCCGGCTAAGCAGGCAACCCGAACACGTTTTGAACCAAACTTATCTTATCCCTTTAAAATTTATGTTTTTGGTGGGATATCATTAATTAAAAAGAAAGTTTTATCCTTTTATAAATCTAAATACATGCATGACCTTTATAGGTGCAGGTATGTCTTTACAGGTGCATAGTCTCTACTGTTGAAATGACTCCTTTTTTGTCCAGGAAGTCCGTCAGTGTAGGAACTAACCTCCTTGTTATTTTTGCCGCCCAATAGCAGTGATTACGTTGCCGTGTCCCGGTCAGAAGGGTGTAGAGATAGAGAGCCATTATAATCTGTAGATTTCTTTGTTTGAAGTTAGCTGCAGGTGTCAGTGAACTGTAGTAGCCAGTTACCAGCAAATAGACTTTAAGTTCATTTATTACTTTAACACTATAAAAAATTAAAAAATTCCTTTAACGGTAGTCCTTGCGTTTACGGTACACTATTTCCTATTTTTAATGACGACAAAAATACTCTACCAAAGACTAGTTAAAACTTGTTGCAATACTAATAACGTTGCCAATAATTTATCGTTTATATCAACAATACAATAGTTTTCTAATTTTTTACTTTGTCTACGCCTAATAGTCCATATTAATGCGAAATTTCAAGTTACTAAGTCGTCTAGAAGTATCTAAGGTTTTGATGTGTGAGTCAGTTACGTGATAAAAACGGCAATTTTCTTATGAAAGTTTTGTTTATGTTTGCGTATCTAAGTAACCAAAGGGGGCCTTATTAGACATGCAAAATTACAAGTATGTAGGTCTAATAGTTTTTGGGTAATGAGGGCTCGAAAGGTGCCGGTGCGTCGCCTTCTTCTTTTCTAAACTGCTGACGCACTGCCGTCACATATATAGACAAAACACGTGGCAGCGGTGGATGGTATCGCGGTTTATACAAAGGTACTCTGTGATGGTGTCGCAGCAGCGACTGACAATGCAGGCGTCCGCAGTTTCACGTACACTTAGAAATTATCTTAAGTGTATCCTCCTTTACTTTGTTGGAACGAAGTTCCTTATCGCACGGTACGAATGGGATGACGGATGGGGGCTAGGCGAGAAAAAGTTTAAGATTTTTGCGTCACGACCCCCATAGTGCGAGAGAGATGAAATAATATCCATCTCTCTCGTACTTTTTCTTACCTTGCCATGAAAGAAATATTATTTTAAATGACGCTTCATTTTAATAGAAGCTAGTAATTCATTTATTTGTATTAGTTAATCAATATTATAATACTTTTATCAATAATAATATACTACGAAAGGAACTTCGTTCCAACCGGGTGTTCCACGACACTCACGCATGTTTTTTTTTTAAATAAAACTTCTATGTGACCCACAACTGTGGTTAGTATCTACTTTACATTCTATCCTCACTTCCATATCCTTCTTATTATATAATTTGTGTTGCTAAAGCGGATTCCACGCGGGCAAAAAAAAACAATCTCGGGTATCGAAATTCCACACAATGCAATATGTACGAGTAAATCGTAAATCCTACACTTGCCAAGTCAATAACGGACAGAAAAGTCGAAGAAAGGACAATGACATCGGAATCGTTTGCCAAGTCGAGTACATTGCATCCCGGCGTTAAAATAGCTCGCTGAATGTTAGATTTGGACATGTCGTGTATGTAACTAACTTACACAGTATAAACAACATTGTATTGAGTTTTATTACTTTCATAATATGAAGAAGCTATGCCAAATAATGTACCTTACAGTATCATATCATCATCAAATGAGTTGAACCCGGGTTGAATCCCCATCGGCGACAATGAAATTGTTAATTGCAATTTTAAGGGGTGAAACGGCAGAATAATGATGACTTTCACAAAATAAAACACTAATAAAATATATTTGCGTTCACTATTAAACACCCTTTTGCATGTCATATGTTCTGCTAGGGCCTAAAAATTAAGATTCCAATGTAATCGTATCTAGCAATCATATTATACATATAAGTGATATAAAAAGCATGTCAGAAAGATAAATAATCGTTGAACTTATTAATAATTTTTTTTAAATCGATTAATTATTATTTTTACATAAAAAAGGGGTTTTAGTGGCTTATGGTGTGGATTTATCAAGTGCGCATGGCGGCGTAAACACGATAAACTTTTGAAAATATCAATTGTTTAAATCAATCTATTTTTAAAACTTTTCATCTATCATTTTTATTAGTTATAATTATTTTTTTTCGGCTATGGAATTGTGAAATTTTAGGTGGTTTGAGAGCCTTGTATTAATTTATTTTACTAAATAGGCCGCCGAGCCACAGCCACAGAGTACTTTATTTACTCCGGGCCACAGAGTAATATTTATATACGGGAACCTGCTCCGGGCTCAAATACCGTCGTGAGTGGTCGTGGTATAGCGGCTCATACAGAAAAATATCGATCGCCGTAGAAATACAAAATAATATTCGAAAAACCAAATTTGATACATACTTAACCAAGGTAAGCTATTATTATTATTTTTATAATCACAGATTTTTATTACAATATTTTGTTTCGCTAAGAGCACGCAGGATTTATATACAAACGTAAATATTTATATACGTCTTGGACTTATAGACCTGAATGTGTGTCGGTATCTGCTACTGGAGCTCCTCGACGAGGAGAACTAGATTTGCCGAGTTTGGGCTCGTTTTGTTATTTATGATGAGACCTTACCTCCGAACTTGATAGAGTGACTTGAACGTGTACTTTGATGACTGCTACAGGAACTCCTCGACGAGGAAAACTACATGTGCCGAGTTTAGTCTCGTTTTGTTAGTTATAGAATATAATAGATATATAGAATAGATTTGGCGGACTTGACGGACTGACTTCAAGGTGTACTTCGTTGACTGCTACTGGAACTCACTGACGAATAGAACTACAATTTACATATTTTTTTTAACTTTTTCTCTATCATTTGGCATTGTGAGTCGTCCACTTTTAAATTTTCCAAACTTTTTTAATTGAAGTTTGACATAAAGATATCAGAAAATTAGAAGTATAATTATAAGGCTATTAGTGAAAACTTATGTGTGTTTAAACTACTTAAAAAAATTAAGTATTAATCATGTTATACGTAATTTTTTTAATGCGCTTAAGGCATGCACAATTGGATTTACCAATCGTTTTAATTTATTATGGTGTTTGTGGTGTAAGAATAAGAATCCGTAACCGTACATGGCTTATACGTCTAACATAATGGTCTAACGTAATCTAACATAAACATAAAATAATGGAACTGTTCTAAATGTATTTACCCACGGACAAATATTAAATCCGCTTAGAAGTGTAGGTATTTTATAATCACACAATCAAAAAAATAAGAATGAACTAATCTATATATTAATATTTACCTCAAGAATTCCGCAAGCCTTCTGCACCAGTTCTTTGCTGAACCTTCCTCCAAGTTTGCAGTGGTCGATCAGAAAATCAACAATGTTCACTTGATCAACTCGCCACGTGTTTCGCTGTTGGCGAGCCTTCGAATGCACCTCCATAACATCTAATTCCTGCTGCCATCTTACTGGGTCCTTCTCTTTTGCTAAAAGTAATCTGGCAAATTAAGATACATAATTATGTAGCATTACAAAATTATGTCTATTTAATGACGTCAAGAAAAATGAAAATTGAAAATTTTGGGGGTTTTACATGATGGGGTGGATATAGGATAGGAACAATTGGAAACCAAAATTATTTGTTTTTATTTATATTATACCTTAATGGTGTGATACAGTCAAGTTGAGGTGCACTGGCAGTCCAATCCTCCACAGGTTGGAAGCGCACTTGGGCGCTAGAGAAGACCTCACACTCCTCTACATGATGAGGTGATTGCTCGCATTCAGAGTTGCAAACTGGCCACCCGCAGCGGGAGCACAGCGTGTTGTCCACAGGACAGTAACAACCGAGGCATAACGGTGGAATATCTGTTGACATGTGCACACGTAAATATGTGAAATGTTACCCACGGGTAGAGATGATGAGAAGGACAAACTTGTGATATTCGGTGCTTAATTACATAATGAATAACCGATGACATGAATGAAAATAACCCCTGGGAATGAGGTGATCGCTACCATGCTACTTCTATGATAAATCATTTAAGTAATTGTGTTCTATAATTGTAAAATGTTATGTTTAATATAGTCTAATATATAAAAATTAATATTTGTTTGTTCGTATTATACCTAACATGTGCGTTGCCATACCGCGTTCATCAGATGGCGCTAAAACTTTGTCAACTTATTGCATGCACTTGTGAGAAGGTTATAGTATAAATTGGTGGCGCTCGTATCGTACCGACTTTATTTGAAAATCATGTATCATTCAATTTTAATGAATGTATTATCATTCCTAATTAAACAACATAACCATTACAAATTTAAAACGATATTTCTACAATTATTTCGTCTGCGGCAGCAACGCGTCGAGTACCAGCTAGTATTGAATAAAAAATAATATTCTATTTTAATCTATTCCATTCGATAAAGTTTCCAAATTGAATCATTATTACAATAACTTTGTTTTCTGATAGTAAATATTTAGTAAACGAAAGGTTAAAAATAATTCATTTAAAACTATATTTTTCAACAGAACAAACAAACATCAGTGGTTTTTCTCATCCTGACCTTCCTTTATTCAATGTCACTTTATTATTACAAAGGGTGCTTTATTTATAGTCTCAGGCAACGCAGGTTTAAACTATCAATTATAATGTAAATAAAATATTCTTAAGCAAAAGTTTACTTAAAACTTATACGGCTGTATTTTTTTATGTTATACCTTAGAGATTTTTTCTAGGTGAACCGATTTTGATGATTATTTTTTTCATTTAAAAGCTAGTGCTTCTCATGTAGTTCCAAATAAATTTTATCAAGATCTGACAAGTAGTTTTTGAGTTATCCTCAATAATGCGTATTTAATTGGCTTCTACTACAATAATGGTGTTCTCATTTTATTTATATTTTTTTTAAAAACAATGTTACCTCCACACTAGGATTTTCTGCTGTATCGCAGGGGCAGTTTACATACATAGATTTCACAAGGACAAACATCCAGACCCAGAACTATTATTTGTGGGCCATACAAATACTTATTCCGTGCGGGATTCGAACCCGCGGCTCATAGCGCTGCAACTCATTGCAAAGCCACTGCGCCTCGGAGTCGTCAAAGATATTGAAGTCGGTTGTACAATTTTTTTTAAATTTTATCACTTGTGAGTGTATATACCTAGAAGGATAAAATTTAAACACTGCTAGGAAACAGAGACAGTAACAGAAACTTTTTCATTCATTATAGATTATAAATAATACTTATTGAAAATCACTCTTTTATTTAACTACCACTGGCTCGAAAAAAAACTGTCCTGGGAAGAACCAGCAAGAAACCCAGCGGGACTTTTTTTTAATACAGCTTACAATCATGTAAGTATGTTACACAATTAACCACACAAAACAAATTAGAAATAGCCTGGTAGCGATCACCTCATTCCCAGGGGTTATTATCATCCACAAATTCCTTAATATTATAGTAACCCTTTTTATACAAACTTTGTTTAATAAAGTTTTTGAACTTTGAGCAGGTCAAATTTTGTATATTTAGCGGGACTTTATATGAAATATTAAGAATATGTAATAACATTATTAAAAAATTTTATATTTAAAAGTATATTAAATATTATATAAAATATTACGTTAATTTATTTGCTTCCATCAATTATTAATTTAATTTAGAATTTTATACTTGTATTAAAACTTGATAACATGTTCATTAAATGCATTATTTTTCGAAAATTGACAAAGAATATTCAACATAACGTCTGCAACGAATCTCCAAGAGACAAATTATAACTTAAACCAACATTTTCAACTATAGCTGCTATACTTGCCTGGTTTCGGTCCAACAACGAAGGGTAAATCCGTAAATATTAATTCACTCCCTTCCAAATCCTTTTTCGCGACTAAATAACGACCATATTTGTCGTTTTGTAATAAGTCATAATGGAAAGCGTCCATCGTAATGATTTAAATTCGGGAAATCATGAATCCTGCGTGGCTAACGAGTGAAGATTGAAGAAGCGACTGAAAGTATTTGGCGAATGGATAACCTATGAGCGGCTAAAATAAACTTGCCGCTGTCGAGAATTGAGCCTCTCGAAAATTCGAGTACGCACATGAAGTACTGCGTATGAACATAAAATCCGACAACCGATCTGCACCATTTCCACTTATAGACTTATCTTTCGATCTCTTTCATAGTTGGGAGGATTTGTAGGAAGCACCACCACCAATCGTAGTAGTTGGCGACTTCCTCGATGGTTTGAAGCTGCAAGCGCGAACGCTAATTATGTTTTCCAGGTTCGATTCCCGGGTCGAGTAAAATCAAAGAGCAGCAGCAGTATGAGGTAATAGAGATTATACCCTTGGTTGCGTACATACCTGTGTACTTACTATAATCACAATTTAATTAGACTCAAAACTGTGCTATAATCGTGTCTTGTGTCTCCGTGGAGACAGGCCGCCATGACCGTAATTTGGTTTGGAGGACTTTATTATTAGCAGGCGTCTAGCACTTTTATCGTCGATGTGGATATCAAAAATGTGCTTATAAATACTGGATATTTTACATATTATAGGTATCTGATATAGCAAAAAAAAGTGCAACGCCACAAGTTTTATCGAATATTATTTCTGTTGATTCTTACGTCACAACCACGACCTTAATCGACATTAAGGAAAACCGTGCTAAGATATAACGTAATTCGAAGGTGATCAAAATACTATTGCTACTATTCGAAATTCCATCATCATCTCGATGGCTGGCGGTTCACTACCGTGCGATTTACGCGGAATTTTCTGCCTCGCACGACCATACTGTGTTTTTGTATTTACTATCGCCGTGGATTTTTCAGGACCGTTACGACTTAGGGTCCTTCAAGAAAAGCATCTACTTCTTTCTAAAAGGCCGGCAACGCACAGCCTGCAATTCACTTGGTGCTGCGGATGTTCATTGGCGGTGGTGGTCACTTACCATCAGATGAGCTATATCCGTTTGCCTTCACTTCCATAAAATAGTTCCATAAAAAAGTGTCGAATTCGATCTCAAGAAAGAATCAATGGATACCGTTTTTTTTTAAATTTTATGTAAGAAACTAAAGTGAAATTGCGAATGGAATACAATTTCAATTTGGGATTTCTCGTTGGTATTTTCATATGTATGTTGATTTTATTAAAATGCTCCGCTCATTTCTAAAGGGTTTTTATGTCAAGTGTCAGCCGCGCTGTCCCTACGGATATTAGCAGTTTTTTATTTTATTTGTCAGACATGTAGAGTTCTTTATGATATTTTCCTTCACCGCCAAACACTTGGTGCCAGAGGGGATCAAGCCCGGGCTGCTCGCATACTGAGCTACCACGGTTTTGTGGGAAACGACGGAACATTATATTGTTATGTAATAGGTAATAATATCGTCCAGAATGCCGCAGTTATGACGTAGGTAACAGTGATGCAGTTAAGTGCTAAGTAGCGATTAGTAGCGATTCTTATAGACCAATACTGCTGAGGGCAAACATGGATTAGTTATTACTTTTTGACTTGAACTTTATATTAAGAAATAAAAAAGTTAAAATGTTATTTTAGGTAAGTAAGTAGGTTTTCTAAAAAGGAAAGCTACGATTGCGCTAATAACCTCTGAAGCCTATGTTGACCTTCTGGCCTACAACAATTATTATTCTGTTATGTTTCAATGATTATAAACTCTTTTTACATACACATCGTAGGGGTATGTAATAAAACGGATAGTTACGGAAAACGAATTTTTTTTTTTTAATATAGGAATTTGTCATTAGTGAGAAAATAATAGGTCTTTGAAATAAGAATAATAGGTACCTATGAAATTGCCGTTCTGCAGTACTGGCTATTTCAACTCAAAATAATTTTTGTTTGGCTAAGAATTCTAATTTCTAATAACTTTATTTTAAAAACATGGATTTTATTAATTAGTCATTTGTTTATTGACTAGCGTTACGTTTTCATTGAATTTGAATCTTTTTCGTCTCATCGAAATTCAAATCATCATGGATACGTTAAAAATTCGAGTAATTATGGAATATGAGTACCATCATGGCAGCAAGTGGCAATACAAGTGGCACGCAACATCAACGGCGTTTACGGAGCGAATACTGCAAACGAAAGCACCACCTGTTATTGATTTGTCCGTTCTGAAAATTTCGACCTGAAAAATTAACCCAGTGGTCGTCCGAAAAATTTTTGTTTTCGCGATTGGCGATGCGATGAATGATGATACTTAATTTACGGCTGATTTAGCAGCAGCCTTCGAAGTTAGCATCAAAACCATTGAGTTATATGTACTACGTACTAGAGAAGCCATTCCGAACATTGACTATGTTCAACTGAACTGTAGTGCAGTCCATACAAACTAAATATTGCGTAAATTGAAAATTTGTGAATTCCATAAAATTATTATTATTACATTTTATTTAGAAATATGTTTGTTTAGATTAAATTAAGATATTTTATATTAAATTCTCATATTTATTTTATATTAATATCTTATTTTATATCAAATTAAAGTTTTTGCTCAAGCGCGACTACTACTACTGCGCATGCGCGAAGACATAGAGTAGGACACAATTTTTGTTTGGAACGGCTTCTCTAGTACGTAGTACATATAACTCAATGATCAAAACAATATTGGTCCATTTGCGTCAAATAGGCAAGGTAAAAAAGCTTGACAAATGAGACTCAATGATCGCCAGCGCGAAGTACGCGACGAAGCGTACCTTGCACTGCTCAACAGGCACACAAACGAAGGAATTTTCTACCGCATTGTTACCTGCGACGAAAAATGGATTCTGTTTTACAATCGCAAGCGCTCAGCAAGTTGGTTGGATCCTGGTTCAGCACCTAAACAATACCCTAAACGAAAACTTACTCCTAGAAAAATGAAGTTCACTGTGTGGTGGTCTAGCGCCGGTGTAGTTAATCACAACTTCTTACCAAATAGGATGAGTATTACTGCAAATGTGTATAGTGGAGAACTGAACACAAAGAGAAGCGCGCAAGTCTCCAACCAGCTTTGGTCAATCGCTTGTCCTCACTGCTCCTGCACGACGACGCGTGACCTCATACTGCACAACAGACGGTCTTCAAGTTACAAGAACTGGGGTCGGAAGCTCTCCGTCATCCTTTCCTTCATCCTTTACTCACCAGACTTTGCGCCTACAGACTTTTACTTTTCCAGAATTTGAATTACCTACATTTCATCGGGAAAAAAAATTCAATACCCGAGAGAGGCAGTACAAAATGCCTATGAAGAATTTGTTGCTTCCCGTCCAGGTCCAGCTGATTTCTTCAAAAAGGGCATCAATAAGCTGCCACTGCGTTGTCAAAGATGCATCGATTGCATGGGTGATTACTTTGATTAATAGAAATAAAAAATATAGAAAAAATTACGTTAAATTATTTCATAAAAAAAACGGCCATTTCAATGGTAAAGACCTAATAAAATTACTTGAGTAATTGAATATCGCAATATGTAAAGTCACCAACGCATTCGCGTTATTACCGAGTGGCTTAAGTTTTTTTTAAATACTTGCTTGGTTGATTCTTATAGCTCTCATCCTCATCCCCTCATCTCATCCCTTCCCCCTTTCAGTTTTGATGACAAAGAAAAACTTGCGAATTCGATAATTTTACAAAATGTAAATTTGATAGCGTGTGCAAACCAAGTCTCGCACGCGCATTTTTTTATTTTAAAATTCATATGACTTTGGTTGATACTAATATATATGAAATGCGGGAGAAAAATAAATTATTTGTTTTCAGTGTCGTAAAAATTAATAAAATATCTTTATTTTTTTTTATATTTATTCCTACACACATGGCAATTTGTGCTTGCAGCTGTATATTTTCAGGACTTTTCGTATTTTGAGCTGACTCTTATTTTCTGAGATGACGCCGCCTGAAATCGGCCCCGGGGCCATGACACCCTGCCGGCCAGAAAACCAAACTATTGAAACACTGTCATACATGTGAACAAAAAACCTTAAGGAATTATTTAATTCAAAATTTTAGATGATCTAGGTACCCTGTATTGTCAAACAAAAATTTAAAAAAATATTAGCTATTAAATATTATTTATTGGTTTTTTTCTCAATTATGTCAATTTTTGAATATTTATTTGGAGTTAATTATAAAGTGTGTATTGTGGACTTTTATCAAAGTTTTAAATTGCCATCAGTTTTAGCAGTAATTACACAAGAAAGTGTACCGTGCCTTCATGAAGTGAGTAAATCTCACCATATAAGTATTTCTAGATCTAATATTAATGATAGAGTATTACAGTTGTTCCCTGACAGCATTAATATTTTAAAATACTTAAGCAAGTAAAGAACGACTTCAAAAAATTTAAAAGAATAGAAAAGGCAGTTTCCACTGGTAGCTTCCGAATTCCTATCCATTTTCGAATTTCCATTAACAGCTTCTGAAATCCGGACTTTAATGCTTTGATACACTTTGTAGCTACTTGCACTGACTAAAAGCTATTAAATGATGTGCAAATAACTTTAATCCTTCTAGTTTTTTGAAGTCGGCACAACGAACCACTCCGAGTCTCAGAGCACTCGGAGGCCCCACCAGAATCGCAGAGGATAGGGCGACTGGAGCATCGTTATATCAACACTCCTCTTCCTTTTTTGTAAGGGACACTCCTCTCGCCACAGTCCATCAACACCCATTCGAATTGGGATTACCAAGCCCACTTGGAGGGGAGAACTATGTGGGTTCCATATAGTTTACCGTGAGTGATTACGCTATGGCTACTAAGCATCCCACCAGGATAAGGTGGGAACCCGTTTAGCGGGTTTGTACGATCATGCTTAGTGGCCAATGCTCGCCTAGTAGTAAATGCGAATATTTGTTCTAAAATTCTTCCCCTTTAGTACCTACTAATTCACTGGACAATTGCGGAGAGAAAAAGAAGATAAACATCAGAAAAAGTATGATCAAGAGCCAGTTTATTTTTGATAATGAGTTATATAATAGTGGTTTGTTTTGCTTTTATACGTTTTAAAAATTATTTTCACAGGATGGGTCTTTAGGCCAAAAGCTCGTGTGCAAAAATGAATATGGCGAAAGAGTTGAATGTCCTTCTCAGGAAAATGAATATTACGGTGGAGAGAACGGCTCAGAAAATGTATGTACTAATTTGACTTAATTATTTTACACCTGTAAAGGATTAACCATACAATCATGCTATTAGTGTCTCGTTGCACGCTTGTAACATACACAAAATGTAATATATATGTGTTTATATATATATAATATATGGATGGTGAGAAACAGGCAGGAGATGGGCAGCAGCATCTTCCTGATAACAGCAAATATAGTACAATAAAACCTGCGGTTGCCAACCCGCTCGCAAAGCATGGCAACTATGGCAAACCCCTCATAATGAAAGTTACGAAGAGACGGCCCCTAGTCCCCGGTGGCGCCGCTATACCTAGCTACGGTGGCGATATACCATGGTAACGACGGGGCAGGGAGTGCTAAGAATCTCCAGCGGAGGTTCGGTTGCCATCTAAGACGACTCGACTTGGCAATATACAACGCACGCAACCTGAGGACTGCCGAGAAGATCCTGGAGCTGGAATAAGAGATAGACAAGTTGCGCTGGGATATTATAGGATTATCTGAGGTCCGAAGAGAGGGGGAAGACACGGTAATCGTCGAATCCGGCAACTTCTTCTATCATCGGGAGGGCGACAATCTGTCCCAAGGATTGGTGTCGGATTTCACAAGTCTCTCGTTATCAACGTAGTAAAGATTGCGAGTGTGTCGACGAGGGTTGAGTACCTTATATTCAGAATCACCTAACGGTATTCGTTGAAGGTCATACAGGTTTACGCACCAACCTCGACACATCCTGATGAGGAGGTGAAGGATATTTATGAGGATATTTCTAAAGCCATGCATTCCTCCAAAAAACCACTATACTGTGTTAATGTGAGACTTTAACGCAAAACTAGGCTCAAGAGAGAACGGTCAGTTAAAGGTAGGGAAATTTGCAATAGGGCAACGGAACCGAAGGGGCCAGCAGCTGGCCAACTTCATGGAGAATGAGGGCTCTTTATGATGAACTCTTTCTTCCAGAAGCGGCCTCACAGGAAGTGCACCTGGACCTGGAAAACCGGCAGCGATCACCGAATGGTGAGAGGCACACTAAATCTAAACCTTAAGTTGGAGAGGTCACGTCTAATGAAGTCAATGCTCCATCCACCCGTGCTCTAATCCAAAGTCCCGAAATCTTTTAGCTCGAGTTACAAAACCGTTTTCTGTGCCTAGAAGATTGCAATGCGGAGCTTCTGAAAGCGGATGGAAAACCGGCACTTGAAATCATTACAGTACACAGGCATTACACCGGAGGCGTGAAGCAGAAGTGGGGTGGTCTTGTTCAAGTGAACGTGTTGTCAACTTACTTGATGAACTACTACGTGCAGTTTTCGAGAGTCATTACGAATCGTCTCGTACGCAGACTCGAGAACTTCTAGCCTCCCGAACAAGCTGGCTTCCGAAAAGGCTTTAGCACCATAGACCACATACATACCTTTCAGTAAATTTTACAAAAGACAGAAGAGTACTATCTGCCACTTTGCCTTTCGTATGTGGACTATGAGAAAGTCTTTGATTCCGTCGAAATTTAGGGTGTGCTACAGTCCCTTCAGCGGTGCCAAGTTGACTGTCGGTATATCGAATTGCTGAAGTGGTTGTACAGTAGGGCTATGATGGCTATCCGAGTACAGAACCAGAGTACGAAATCTATTCAACTGCAGCGAGGTGTAAGACAGGGTGACGTTATATCCCCGAAACCCTATACTGCTGCATTGAAAGACGTTTTCAAGCTATTGGAAAGGATACGGTATTAACATCAATGGCGAGTACATCACTTACCTTCGATTCACTGACGATATAGTCCTTATGGCAGAATTGCTGGAGGACCTAAGCACTATGCTCAATGACCTCAATAGTGTCTCCCAACGGATAGGTCTCAAGATGAACATGGATAAAATAAGGATCATGGATAATGTCCATGTGACACTTTTGACAGTGGTAGAGCCACGCGGCAGCTTTTGCTGTCGCACGGATGGGCCGGCTCGAAACGGGGTGGTACCACGACCTCACAGAAAACCAGCGTGAAGTAGAGGTTTACCTCTGCGTTTCGCTTTGTGAGTGCAGGTGGCCGGAGGCCCTTTTTACTGGAAATGAGGCATTCCATCTTAGTCCTCACGGGTGACAACGCATCTACATTTTGATTTGTAATAGAGAATAGATGTAGATGTCTATGGGCCGCAGCAACCACTTACCATCGGGTGGACTGTGTGCTCGTTTGTCAACCTTCCTATAAAAAAAAATTACCGACTAGGTAAGTCCAACTTCGACCGAGAGGTCAATTGACGGATTTAACTCGTTTGGGTAGCGTTCAGGAAATTACGACACATCTTCTCGTCAGGTATACCTCAAAACCTTTAAACGAGATTGTACAACCAATGCATGTTACCAGTGAGGATCTGAGACGTGATCCTTCACTGCTGGAATCCGAATGAGGACGTTCAAGGTCGCTCAGTGTGCTTTGGAAAGGGCTATGTTCAGGGTTTCTTTGCGTGATAAACTCAGAAATGAAGATATCATATTTACTTACTGGCCAGACAGTTTTATTTTGGCAGGTGACTGAGCTGACAGATTTGTTTAGAATTTATTGCACCATGCCGCAATTTTGAGTTAACGCAAGGTACCGGTATCAAATATGCAACTCTAACTGGCAATCATGAACAAAGTCAAACTACATCTTTTAATATTGAAATATGTAATTCTCTCAATTTCATAAGTTTGATTCATACGGGAATTCATAAATAAAATATTTGCTGATATTCTAAATAGTATTTTTTTCTAAAGCTTGTTGAATTATAAACAATTTTAATAACGTCAATAACGACATTTCCGCTGAGAAGCGCCATCTGGTGGGATTATTACCCAACTAAAATAGCGATGGGCGACTGCGAACAATCCGATCATTCGAATAAACTGCGATTACTCGAACTCTAATCTGAAAATGCGATTAATCATTAGTAACAAGTAACAACACTCGCTAAAGAATTATACCTCAAGAACTCGCGTTACAACTAACATCAACCATTAATGAATTCAACCAATAGTGTTACAACTATAAATTTAAAATATATAGAAACATATTACTAACACATATATTTTCACGCCAAGTAACTGAGTTCCGCGATCTTAGCATCTCATGTACAGAATTTCGATTGACCAATTATACCATTTGAAAGGTCAGAAATTGATCATAAAAGGTCAGTTGCTCTTATTAATTGGTCAGCGTTAGAATTTTTTTATCAAGGGTTAAAGTTTTTCAAGGTCATTGAGAAATTATAGCACCTCATTATCGAAAAAAATAAAAAATTCCACTTATGCGCGATCGAGAAACATTCGCTGGTTTTCTTCTATTACTCTTCGGTTCTTTTCCTATTTATTGGTTGATTTCTCACAGCTGTATCTCTCCTAATAAAAATCGCAGCAGTCGGGGTAATCGTCGGATGATGTGTGATTCGCACTTATCCACTCACGACGGCAGCCGAGGCCGGGATGACCAGTTACATAATATGAATGTTCTGTGGTGTCTATTTAGTAATTTTTTTTAATATTAAATTTAACTGACTAACTATTTATATAAGCTGACCAATTATCAGCGAATGCTTCTTGATTGCGCATAGGTGGAATTTTTTATTATTTTCGCGAATGAGCTCCTAAAATTTCTCAATGACGTTGAAAAACTTTAACCCTTAATAAAAAAAAAAATTCTAACGTTGACCAATTAATAAGAGCAACTGACCTTTTATGACCAATCTCTGACCTTTCAGATGGTATAATTGGTCAATGTAAATTCCGCACATCAGGTGCTAAGATCTCGGAGCTAAATAATTGCCTTATCGTGAACGTGAACAGTATAGAGAAGAATACTATACAAGATACAAAATGAACCAATATTTATTTAACATAGTTACATGTAAAATATTTATTTAAGTTTTTTTTTATAGGAGAGGGGGCAAACGAGCATGCGGCTCACCTGATAGTAAGTGACTACCGCCGCCCATGAACAACTGCAACACCAGGGGAATTGCAGATGCCTTTAAAAAGGTGTAGGCTCTTTTCTTGAGGGTCCCTAAGTCGTACCGGTCCGGAAATATCGCTGGTGGTAATCGATTCCACAAGGAAGTTTTGCGATGAAGAAAACATCGCACAGTGGTGGACCGCCAATGGTAGTATGGATGGTATCTCAAGTTTTATCGCGATGTGCGATGGTGAAATTGAGCGGCTGGCATTAGTCCGAACAATTCATCACAGCACTCCCCGCGGTAAAAGCGATGAAATACACAAAGCGATGCAACATCTCTACGCAATGCCAGTGTATCGAGCATAACATATTATGTTATGTTAATTTTATAACCTTTTCTTTTAGAAATCGCAAATTGTTTTCTAATATCTTTATTTTATTTACTAATTTACACGATTATTCGAACAGCATGCTAGTCGGTAATATTATAATTTAGGTCCTTCATTCGAGTGAGTCGAAAGATTTATGAAGTCGAGTGATTCGAACAGAATCATTCATAGTTCAGCGCTATTTTATTGGATTAGAATTGTCTTGTCTTCTGCTGTGGTGCAGGTTTAGGAGGTGAAGTTATATCTAAGAATTCGCAAAATTCAGTATTATATCTAGTTTCAGTTAGTGAATCAATTTAAAACACAGTAAGTAATGCACAGTCCCTTTTTTAGTTTTTATTTAATTAGAAATGCCCATTTCTAAGGGTCCCGTTACAATTAGCCGGGGGAGCAATTGACGTCATACACGTGATTAATCGTGATTTTGTATTTTCTTTATTTTAACTTAGTAATATTTTGCTTAGAATATGCTTGGCGATTACAATTCAACAATATTTTCAAGATTTTAATGCCTTATACTAATCTTTGAGGTGATGTATAACCAATGTTCCAATGCGATATAAAATATACGATATAAAAATTTTGGCGTACGGTCAAGATTACGGTCACGGTGTATGACTTTTTTATTTATTTATTCATCGATTGGCCAGAAGTTAGCAAAATTTAAAACATTAAGCGATCGGACCCGTAATGCTACTTGTGGGTTATGTAATACCGTTATTGAGTGACACTTATAAATTTGCAGTCTGTACTGACACGAATAGCTCAAATCCCTATTTATGAAAATATAGGTTCTCTCTATTGTAGTACTTATTAAAAATCTTATAATTTTTGAACTGTACAATAAGCTATGTACAATAAATTCGTCTGTTTTAAATATTAAATTATTTTAAGATTGTGACATCAACTTATGCTTGCTTTCGATCTGTAATAATATTTAGATAATATCAAGGACAATAAAACTAACACAATTTATTTTCAGGAAATGGCACCCCCATTCTACGCTGATCTTGGAAAGAAGGCCAATGATGTATTCAGCAAAGGCTACCACTTTGGTGTGTTCAAACTTGACTTAAAAACCAAAAGCGAGTCAGGTGTAGAATTCACCAGTGGTATCACCTCCAATCAGGAGAGTGGCAAGGTAATAATTATGCTAATTGTAACTAAAAAATTGGCTTTGACTGGTTATTCTAAAAAAGGGTTTTTTTGATGAAGAATCATGCAATAACATATAAAACTTATCAGATTGAATGTTTCATAGACCACTGTATTATTTTCTACAGTAGGTAAAAGACACCTTGTCTGATCCAAGAGGGGCACTTGGGCATTGACAGTACAAAAAAAAAACATTAGTAATTCATATAATAATGTTGTACAACAGTTTTTATTACAAATTGCTTAAAATTTGGCAAAATTTTAAAATCTGTAATATTGTCTTTGGCAATAGTATTATTGAATAATAAGTGATGGTATTGTTACAACGCATGTTCCACCTGTTTCCTATTTATTGTATTCTTTTATTGCTAAAAAATTCGCAATAAAAGAATACAATCATATCACAATACCTAAAAGCACCCTCAAAGATGTAATAGGATTTTTTACACATTGTATAATTGAATATTGTTTCAGGTCTTTGGTAGCCTCTCATCCAAATATTCAGTGAAGGACTATGGCCTAACTTTCACAGAAAAATGGAACACAGATAATACACTCGCCACTGACATCACTATCCAAGACAAGATTGCAGCTGGCATGAAAGTTACTCTTGAGGGTACCTTTGCACCACAGACTGGGTAAATTATACTCTTCTCCGAATGCCATGTTTTAAGTATAGGACTAATTTAGATGTTTTTTTTTATTTAAAAGCTAGTGCTTCTCATGTGGTCCCATATAAAGATCAATATCTTTTTTTTAAATAACGTTACCCTCACACTAGGATGTTCTCCTGTACCGTGGAGGCAGTTTACAAGCATTAATTGCTCAAGGACAAATGTCCAGACCCGGAACAATTATTTGTAGGCCATATAAATACTTGTTCCATGTGGGATTCAAACCCGCAGCCTCTAGCCCTGCAACTCATTGCTAAGCCACTGCACCAGTGTTTTTGAGTTATCTTTAATAATGAATATTTAATTGACTTCGACTAATGATTTGAAGTAGAAGATAGAAGTAGGTTGTACAATTTTTTAATTTTATCACTTGTTAATAAATTAATAAGAAACTTTGTGATACCATTAAAGTCGGAACTAAAATGGTTTCTTTTTGGTTAAAAAGAAAATATAATTTCGTATAAACTGCATTTTTGGCCAAAAGCTTGAAGTTCCTAGTTATTATGTAAAACTTATAATTCAAAATAAAGAAAACAAAATTTTAAAAATTAATGTGGTTGTACTAGATACCATACATTCTAGTAAAATAAGTAGTAGGCTATTTACTTTCATTAAGTAAGATTTTTATGGTAAAATATATCTTATGCCACAACGTTGCATTAAAAATTATATAATGAAATATGTGTATATAATGTACATAAACTTCCATAGGAGCAAGACTGGCAAACTGAAGACCTCTTTTGCCAATGATACTGTAGCCGTTAATACTAATCTGGATTTAGATATGGCTGGACCCATTGTGGATGTAGCAGCTGTTCTCAAGTACCAAGGCTGGCTTGCTGGTACTAACACTCAATTTGATACACAGAAGGGCAAAATTAGCAAGAACAACTTTGCTTTTGGTTACCAGACAAGTGATTTCGCCCTGCACACAAATGTGTAAGTATTTACTGCAAAAAATAAGTTTTTACTACATTTCGACTTTACATTTCGACTTTACATTACGACTTGCAGTTGGAATATTACTTATTATATTGTCACCTCAAAAATTTAATTTCATCCCATTATCAGTGGTTTAAATAACAGAAATTACAATATATTCAAGGTTGTATTTTGCAAGTTTTTAGTTAGTGTTGCTTAAAAAGCATTGAATATACAGAATATATTAATTGAATATACAAACAATAATAATAAATAATTTCAAGTTTATCTTTGTTTATTCATCTCATTTTAGACCAATCAAAACTTAAAAAATTCTAAATGATTGCTGTTATAACCATGTATATTAATTAACATGGCCATACAACCATGGCCATGTTAATTAATATACATGTAGTAGTGTTAACATACACGTTAACCATGCTGAAGCTTTTATACTATAGGTGAAGAACAATATTAGTACCATAGTTTTTTTTTAAATAACACTGACTAAGTGGTCAGCGTACATGGCATAAAATATTTTTGGAGCTTTGGTCCACATCAAATACGAAAGTTAAGAATTGTAGTGCTGACATTAGTTTTACTAGTCACACAATCAATTTTTCCTTCAATGTTAACATACTTTTCTTGTTTCTTAGAACACAGCAATGTTAATAAAATACACAAACTACTTGGTACCAACTTACAAATTAGAGACTATAGTTGAAACACTAACACGCCAAAATAACAATGTTATTTTTTATTCTTAGTGACAATGGAAAGGACTTTGGTGGTTCTATATACCAGAAGGTGTCAGACAAGATTGACTGTGGTGTTAGCATGAAATGGTCTGCAGGTTCTGCTGACACACTCTTTGGAGTTGGTGCCAAGTTTGCACTTGACCAAGATGCATCTTTGCATGCTAAGATAAACAACAAGTCTCTTATTGGACTTGGCTACCAACAAAGACTGCGCCCAGGTGAGTGAAGGCCTTAAAATCTACCAATTATAATACATTTTAACATAAAAAATACATATGTATGATGCAACATTATCATTTGGATATGCATAATCTAGTGCTGTCAGGAATTCATACAATTCAAAATAGGTATGTTATATAAGTTCTAAACAGATGTTCTTAGGAATATATCGCTATGACACAAATAGCACATTTAGTATTTCAGCATTTTTATTTGTCTTAATAATTTTGCTTTAACTTTAATTTTATTTTTCAGGTGTAACCCTAACTCTGTCTGCGGCCATCGATGGTCAAAACTTTAATGCAGGTGGCCACAAGGTCGGCATTGCATTTGATCTTGAACCCTAGGCATTTACTAAAGCCAATGGCGTTTTAGTCTTGTAGATAATATATAATGCCGCATACACTATTATATGTAATGAAAAAAGGAAGCATATAAGCAAAATCAATTCAAGCATCTCGGTGTCCTATGAATGTTTGAAAGCGTATGATGCAGCAATATAATTGTGCAAATAAATAGCCAAGGAATAGTTATTAAAGCGCCGTCGAATATTTACATATCAACGGCGGACGCTAAGCTTCCCCTTAATTTTTTTTTAATTTCTAAACGTGTTGCAAAGCATCCTGTCGCTGAATGATTTTATTAAATTTAAATATTCACTACTATGTCAGTATACTGCCTTGTAAATAAGCACCTATGGTGTGTTCTTTATTGAATGATTGAGAATAAAAATAGTCTGTTGGAATCAGTTGTTGTGTTTCCTTATCTACTCTACCCCAATTGATTAAAAAAGTGATATACTTATTATATGAATAACCAGCAACCCGTCACGGCTTCGAACGAAAAATACTTATAAAAACGAAACTAAAAGGAACAAAAAAACAGCCTATACAGGCCAGTTTCCGGAAAAGTACCATAGACTACATACATACCCTTCGGCAAATTGTACAGAAGACCGGAGTACAATCTTCTACTTTGTCTCGCATGTGTAGATTATAAGAAAGCCTTTGATTCCGTCGAATTTGGGCGGTATTTTAGTCCAGCGGTACCAAGTTGACTTGGTATATCAAAATGCCGAAATATTTGTACAGTAGTTAACAGAATCCATTCAGCCTATAAATTGCCTCTAAGACAATTTTGCCAAAGTTGCTACGTTTGGCAGGCAGGTTGGAAACCGCAGTTTTTTCTTATTGATTTATTATTAGGAATATTCTGCTGTCCATCTCCTGTTTTAGTTTCCTTTTGTCATATCTAAAGACACTCAGGGGACGATATGGGGTAGTACTAGATATTTTGCACAGAACTATAATACGAAACCTATCCAATTGCAATAGCAAGGCCATTGCTCATACAAGGTGTGTTTGCAATAATATACGATATATTAATTATGGCAGAATCACTGGAGGACCTAATCATCATGCTCAATGAACTCAATAGTGTCTCCCAACAGGTAGACTTTAAATCTTAAAATGAACATGGATTAGACAAAGATCACATGTAACGCGCTTATGCCGGTAGTTGTTGGGAGAATTACGCTCGAAGTTGTTGAGAGTATGTTTACCTTTTTTTTCGTGGGGAAATTCTCATGGATACCATTTATGATATGAAGGTTATGCCGGACTCCTACCGGCTAAAACCCCACCATCAGCGTATACGAGGGGTCCCGAGATCTCCGTTCGGAACACAACCGGGGTCCCTCCATCGCATTGCTACACTGCGAGAGTGCTGGGGGTCGTACTTGCTGCCCCCAGCACTCGCAGTGCTACCACGATGTCTCGAGACCAATTCAGAGTCATAGTCCTCTTTGGGGATAACTAATTAGGCGTTCGAGGCCCCTGCCCCGAGCGTCTGCAACCCCGGAGGCCCAGTTTCTGGCAGAGGAATATCGTTATCAAGAGGAGGGCCGTGCTGAACGCCTTGGCAACGTCGTCTCCGAACGGGATCCGCTCTCTCCCCATCCCGTTCAGAAGCCTCCTGAATCATAACAGATTCATAGGTGGGCACGACCCTATACGTCGAATCCCCGCTCAGCATCGCCGACACCACTGCTGGCAGAGGTTCCGTCCGATGCCCCGATGTCCGCTGCCGTTTCCACGCTGGGCTTACTGCGAGCGTATGGGAAGCGGGTTCCTGGTCCCTTCCACCGCAGTGGAAACAGTTCGCCGTCGCCTCGCGTCCGATCTTACACAGATAATCAACAAATCCTATGCCCGGTAATTATCTGTGTAAGTCTAGGTGAGTCTTCCTGCTCGTCGCTGCATCCAGGCTTCGAAGACCAGCAGGAATGCTCCAATGACGCGTTTGCGTTCATAGCGCTCGAGTCGAGTGTGCCATGTCGCCAGAGCGTTTTGTCGTTCCTGCCGTTTAATTGATTCGAGCGCCTATTCTGGCTTTCAGGCTCACTAAATCGCTCTGACGGAGGGCACGGATTCGGACGTACACCCTCGCATCCATTACCGCCAGTATATCTAGTGGTATCAAAGTGGTGGCTTAGCTACTACTATACTACTTAGTTGTAGCACGAATGGGTTGGCTCGAACGGGGAAGGACCACGCTCTCACAGAATACCATCGTCAAATAGCAGCTTAACACTGCTGTGTTTCGTATGGTGAGTGTAGAGAACCGGAGACCCATTTTACTGGAAAAGAGGCATTCCATCTTAGTCTTCACTTCACATTGCGTGACAACGCATCTGCATTTTGATTCATAATGGAAGATAGATTTCTATGGGCCACAGCAACTACTTACCATCAGGTGGACTGTGTGCTCGTTTGTCACCCTATCCTATAAAAAAAAAATAGGTAACCGACATAGCTCTACGGACCAGGCAGACCATGTAGCTGATATAGCTCAAAGAAATGATAAGCGATGGAGAAGGAAGGTTTGAGTGGCAGCCTCGTACTAGAAAGCAAGGTCTAAGGCGTCCCTCTTCTAGATGGAGGTGACGATCAATTAAAAGATGCAGGAAGTCGACGGATACTAGTAGCTGAGGACCGAGCTTTGTGACGGGTTGTAAATGCTGATTATGACTGCCTATTCATGTAATACTGCTGGACACTCGCCTCGGTTATTGCTAAGAGGGTTGGAGGAAAACTGGTGTGTCCAAGAAATAAATTTAATATTTTTCGAAGACATATGTGAAGAAGGCCAAATCACATTGGAATAGCGCGGCGGACTAATTAAGCGTAGGTGCGTATTTATTTATACAAACTAGATTAATAGAAAATAATCTGGTACTGTACTTTGAATAAAACTATTTTACGGATTTTATCGCGTTTAATTTACTTATTTTAATTCCCGACGTTTCGGGTGCTTTACAGCAACCCATGGTCACGGGGAGGACTAAAACGTCGGGAATTAAAATAAAAATACGGCATGCAATAAATTAAAGGCGATAATATTCTTAAAAACAGTTTTATTCAATGTGTAGCATAAATATAAATATAAGAAATCATTATGGTACTATACTACTTTTATATAAGTACAAATCTGATCTATTCTGTTTAATTTAGAACGTCTTACTATACTGAAAGACACTACACTACACTACACGCAGTGTAGTGGCGGTTAAGAATATCCACTACCCCATACCTTCCCGTGGGTGTCGTAAAAGGCGACAAAGGGAAACAGGCAGGAGATGGGCAGCAGCATCTTTCTGATAACAACAAATTACAATAAAAAAACTGCGGTTGCGAACCCGCTTGCCAACCGTGGCAACTATGGCAAAACCCCCCCAATAATGAGAGTAACAAAGAGACGGCCCCCAGTCCCCGGCGGCCGCGCTATTCCTGGCTACGGTGGTGACCATGGTAACGGCGGGGCAGGGGGTGCTAAGAATCTCGGGTGGAGGTTCGGTTGCCACCTACGACGACTCGACCTGTCAACTTATAACGCACGCACCCTGAGGACTGACGAGAAGATCCTGGAGCTGGAAGAAGAGACAGACAAGTTGCGCTGGAATATCGTCGATTATCTGAGGTCCGAAGAGAGGGGGAGGACACGGTAATCCTCGAATCCGGCAACTTGTTCTATCACCGGGAGGGCGACCATCTGTCCCAAGGAGATGTCGGATTTATCGTCCACAAGTCTCTCGTTAACAACGTTGTAAATATTGGGAGTGTGTCGACTAGGGTTGCGTACCTTATACTCAGAATCACCAAACGGTATTCGCTTAAGGTTATACAAGTTTACGCACCAACCTCGGCACACCCCGATGAGGAGGTGGATGAAATGTATGAGGGTATCTCTAGAGCCATGCATTCCTCCAAAACCCACTATACGGTGTTAATGGGAGACTTCAACGCAAAACTAGGCACAAGATAGAACGGTGAGCTGAAAGTAGGGAATTTCGGAATAGGGCAACGGAACCCAAGGGGCCAGCAGCTGGCCGACTTCATGGAGAAAGAGGGACTCTTTATGATGAACTCTTTCTTCCAGAAGCGGCCCCACAGGAAGTGGACCTGGTCGAGCCCCGATGGTTCGACAAAAAATGAGATTGACTTCATTATAACGACCAGACAACAACTATTCAGTGATTGCGAGGGTGAAAACCGGCAGCGATCACCGAATGGTGAGAGGCACACTGAACCTAAACGTTAAGTTGGAGAGGTCACGTCTAATGAAGTCAACGCTCCGTCCCCCTCGTGCTCTAATCCAAAGTCCCGAAACCTTTCAGCTCGAGCTAAGAAACCGTTTTCAGTGCTTAGAAGATTGCAATGCAGTGGACGATATGAATGACAAGCTCGTGGAAACTGTCCATGCGGTCGGAGCTAAGTTTTGCAAGAACCGCCGCAGAAAAACACAAAAACTCTCCGATCACACTCTTAATCTCATGGCTGTTAGACGGGATATGAAGCTGCAGTCTTCAGTAGATTTTACAACATACAGGCAATTGAACAGACAGATCTCCAAATGCATGCTGCGGGACTTACGCAACTTTAATACTGCTAGTATTGAAGAAGCGATCGAGTGGAACTAGAGCTCCAGTCTTTGCTAGAGATCTGTCTGACAGAAAGTGCCAACTGTCGAAGCTGAAGACCGAGTGTGGCAGCGTCATTTCCGGGACACCTGAGATTTTGAGTGAGATTGAGAGGTTCTATGGGCAGCTGTACACATCATCGTTGGAGCCACACGCACGTGTGAGTAACGATCCAAGAGCGAGTCTTATCCGACATTATTCCGATGATATCCCGGACGTCAGTCTGAGCGAGATTAGAATGGCTCTCCAGCACCTTAAAAACGGTAAGGCCCCAGGCGAGGATGGAATTACAGCGGAGCTTCTGAAAGCGGGTGGAAGACCGGTACTTGAAGTCCTTCAGAAGCTCTTTAATTTCGTCCTCCATGGTGGCACTACACCGGAGGCGTGGAGCAGAAGTGCGGTGGTCTTGTTCTTCAAGAAAGGCGACAACGCTCTCTTGAAGAACTACAGACCGATTTCCCTTCTGACCTGCGTCTACGTGCTGTTTTCGAGAGTCATTACGAATCGTCTCACGCGCAGATTTGACGACTTCCAGCCTCCCGAACAAGCTGGTTTCCGAAAAGGCTTTAGCACCATAGACCACATACATACCCTTCGGCAAATTGTACAGAAGTCCGAGGAGTACAATTTGCCACTATGTCTGGCGTATGCAGACTATGAGAAAGCCTTTGATTCCGTCGAAATTTGGGCGGTGCTGTAGTCCCTTCAGCGGTGCAAAGTTGACTGTCGGTATATCGAAGTGTTGAAGTGCTTGTACAGTAGGGCTACG